TGAAACTTCCTATTCATCTATTGCAAGCTCATGCACTAAGTGGATCCATCCATTTGTAAAATCAAACCTTTCAAAGAATCTTTCATTGATGTATTTTTACAATTCTTAAAATAGTTGGTAGTTAATCTAGATTATTGATAATCATATTTACAATGATAGTAAATTAATGATATTCAATTGTCAATGTTCAAAGTTTACGTTTACTTTATGAAGTTAGAAATCCAAATTCACAAGTTAAATTTATAAAATAATTCATGAATAACCATACATATCTACATTCCAAAAAAAAACATTAAAATCCAAGTTACTAAGTAAAATTATTTCAGCCATGATTTAATTTACAACATATTGGTTTATCAAGAAAAGCTTTGATACCAAACTTGTCACAAAGATCTACTTGGATAGCTAAATATTAGAAAAAAAATATAGTTGATTTTTTCTAAAATTAATCAATCAAAAAAAATTATTACTTCAAGTTAAAAGTTGTTGTTGTATTACTTGAAGTTTTCTTGAGAATGTATTAGATACTTGGTTGTATAAGAAAAAATAGAACTTATAACAAGATGATCCTAAAAACTCCAATCAAATCTTAAATAAGCTTCAATTAAATTATAACAATGCTAATCAAATTTTAATGAAATCTAAAAGGAAACTCAAGAACTTATAAAAAAATATAAAGAAATCATAAATTAATCTTAATAAAATATATATACTAAAAAAACATTAAAAAAATATCAAAAATATAAATCTTAATTGAATCTTAATCAAATCCTAATAAAATCCTAAATCAATTCCAAAAATATTTTAATAAAATTATAAACCAATCTAAATCAAACTTTAATAAAATTTTAAATCCTAAAAAAAGCTTGATTAAATCCTAGAAAACTCCTTATCAAATCCTAAGAAAAACCTAAATCTTAACCTTAGACCAAATTCTATTCAAATCCAAGACAAATCCTAATCAAATTTTTAATTAAATCCTAAATCCTAATCTTAAATCAAATCCTAGAAAAATCCTAGAAAAATCCTAATCAAATCTCTAAATCCTAATCCTAAAACAAATCTTAATCAAATCCTAGTCAAATCCTAAATCCTAATCAAATCCTAGATAAATTCTAAATCTTAACAAAATCTTAAACAATCCTTAATCAAATCTTATAATAAAACCAATATTTTTCATTTTTGACTTCACCATGGTGTTTAAAAAAATCTAATTAGCCTAAGAACCTTGTGTGGTCTTCCAATCTTGTTCCATTTCTTTATAATAGCTCCCAAGGTGGTAAAACTCAATTTTACCAAAGTCTTGGAAATTACTCTATAAATTCCTAAAAAATTCTAAATAAATTATAAATAAATTTTTTAAAAAATTTTAATATTTCTATAATATTTATATCAATTTAAAGCTATATTTTCTTACATTTTTTATTTTTTATAATCATAAAATAAATTTAAATAAATTATAAATCCTATTTTCTATATAACTAAATAAAAAGACATGAGGTTTTTTCTCATCCTTCTTCTAACTATTAATTAGCATTTTTGATTTTTTTTAATAAGTAATAAATATAGATATAAGGCCAATTTAAATATTGATCTTAATAAATAATCCTTGACACTCAATAGTAAGTAAAAATATTAAACTAACTAAGATAATTGCCTCCAAGTCTTATTAAGACTCCATTTCTACAAATAACATTCTAATTTTCTATTTGTCCAAGGATTTCTACACTACTCACCATATATTATGGTTTTAAGCACTTTAAATTCATATTTTTATTCTAAAACAACTAATGAGTTAATTTAATGACTTATACACATGATATGGTCATAAAATCCTAAAAATATATAAAGATGTTTTTATTTCTTAAAATCTAAATCCACTAATCTCATTGTTAACTTGAAAATTCTTGAAAACTTCAATATTAATCCAAATAACATAAAAGCAATATCCAAAAAAAATTCTTAAATTCACTTTCAAATTTTTTTCTTTAATTTACAAAAGAAGTCCGAAAATAGTATAGTTACTTGGTTTGTACTTTTAGGTTTGATTTTGATTCTAATTGGCAACCATTCTTCTCTGAGTACCAATTCTTGTCCTCTTAAGGTAATTTTTACTAAAATTAATTCCTAACTTCTTCTTACATATGTCTATATTCTTTATTTCTTTTAATCTATCTTATTTTGCCTTAGATATGGCGCTATAAAGTATATAGAATATAATTTTATAAAATGTAATTCTAATATTAATTGATTTTACTACTGCCTATCATTTATCTATATTTTTTTATTATATATTTCTAATTAGGCTCTTCTATAATAAAATACTTTCCTTCTTTCATCTAATGGGCATGTTACTATATAACATTGCTTGATATTATGACAATGAATTGTACTGACTAATTAAGCTTAAGAACATATTATAGTTTATATAATACATAATGACTACTAGAACTACCAATAAACTTAGGAATTGATTGATTATGAACCAAGATATAAACAAAACTTTGTTGTATATATTAAAAACAATGAATCATTTTTCATACTTCATTCTAACATATATGTAGCAAATAATTTCTAACAATTGGATAGAACATAATAAACAAATAAAAAAAAAAAAAAAAAACTTCATAAAAACATAGTCCTTAATTGATAGCATATGATTCTGCAAGTGGACATACCTTATAACAAATAAAACCTAAAAGAATTTAAATTCTTAATGCTAAATCTTTAGATATGATTGTTCACAATCTCAGATGCAATTTGTACATGCTTGCAATATGTATGTAGTAGATGAAGACAAACAATAATTCCAATGTAAGATTGAAGTTGTTTGCAAAATTTATAGTAATCAAGATCTTACCTGAATAATTTGAAAAGTGAGGATCTTCTCTTTTTGATAAAGATGAAAACATGCATACATAAAGTCGAGCCAAATGCCTTATACACTAATATCAAGGATATTGACTTGACTTAGTTCCACTAATACAAGAGCAATAAGCGATGAGATCCAAGCCAAAATCAAAATTTAATCTTGATGGATCTGCCTTCCACATTCTCGAGTAGTCTAAACAAGGTTGTCTTCCAAACTCTTAGATAGTAAAGATGCTTGAGCACAAAGGACAAGCTACTCTTTGCACTCATAGAGGATAAAGATCCACTTCATCCACATTCAGCCATATTCATATACATATTACATGGAGTAGAGTGACATATGATGAAATTAATCTTCACATGGTTTGAAGATATGGCTTTAATAAAATTGGAATGTGGATTTAATAAGTTCCTAAATATATGTGTATATATATATATATATATATATATATTAGAATGTTTAAAAATATTAATTGAATTCTATTTGTGTAAAAATATTTGTGTGATTAAAAATAAAAATATACAAGATTTAAAGATGTTTCTTCCATATATATATATATATATATATATATATACATAATTAAAAAAAAAAATTAGAAGAATATAAGATATAAATTAATTGAAAGAAATATATAATAAAAATTCCATTAGAAAGTAGAAATATTATAGATTACTATTCTTTTAACAAAAGTTTTTATTATATACTTCTTATACTAAAGGACACCACTATTTTTTGTAAAACCAAAAAAATTGATAGTTTTATGTAAATATTTTAGCCATTTTAATATAAAAGATACAAAAGAATTCTAAATCATTGTAAAGTATAATATATTTTTAAAAAATTGGCACATATAACTCAAACTTAATGTATAAAAACTATTTTTATAAACAATATGTAAAATTAAAATATAAAACTAAAAAAATACCAATAGTAAGTATCTTTTAGAATAATATAAAATCTTTCAAAATCTCATAGCAATTTATAATAGTTTTTATAAATCTTCAAAAACTTATATAATCTTTTATAATTAAAGATTTTGGAATCACTTATAATTATTTAGAAGTTTCTATAAAGAATCTATAATCTTTTGAAAGCTTCAATGGTTGTCTAGGATATTTTATAATTCTCAAAAGGTTTTTATAAAAAATTCTTGTACTTTTAACATATTCCATGGTTTTTAGAACATATAGAGAACATAATTGTCATAGTATGAATGACAAGGCAACAAAAAGGGACCTCAACTTTGTTAATACAAAAATCAGAGCAATCCAAATATTGCCTAGTTTTTAGTCTTTTTTCTAATATCTAATATCTAATCTAATATCTTATTTTTCTTGTAATTCTTAATCTCTTGATTCTTTCTTTTTGCATCTTTTATTATATACTTTAACTTTTAAAAAAATATATATGATAACATTACATAAACACTTATCTTTTATAATTGAAATTTAAAAATCAATCATATAAATTACACCACTATATATGTAAAATAAGAAGTATAGATCACAGAAAAGATTTTATTGGGCTTTTTAGGAATTTTGTTTTTGTACTCTATGCCGCACAAACTTTAGGAGATACACATAACATTGCTTGGACACTCCAACCTAGAAAAACAAGGGAGAATTGAACTTTGGACATGTCATTCATGACGTGGACATCTGCTTCCATGAATTTAATGATAAAAAAAAATCTAAAAATTTTAGGAAGTTGGAAAGAGGAAGAGTGAAAATGCATCATTGCTTCGCCAATCAGGCAGAAACTGACGGGCTTCCCTCGTTGTTTTCCACTACAAAAACCTTGAAATCCCAATTATGGCCACATGCATCGTCAAATTTCAGAAATCCATGCTGTGTGGCACCGTGCACAATACACTGCAAAAACACAAACCATGCAATGGAAAAACGAATCAGACACAACGTCATGGGCCTTGCATCTTCAACATACAAAAACATTTTTTTTCCATTGCGGACAATTTTCAACATTGTCTTACCATATCACATCAGATTCCGAATCAGCAAACATCATGTTCTCAGCCAGTTCTATTGAGCTTGCTCACCGATCATCACCACAGGATCCAGTTCATCTCTTCATCAGTTTGCAAAATGAACATATCTACACACAAGTGGAGGACGATAATATGATCTTCAACACTCCATAATGAGGAATAAATTACAATAATATTAAATGTAAAACTTCCCATACGAGGTAACAGAGTCATGAAAACCCTCTCAGCAAAAGTCACTGTCATCATCAGCGTAAGCATGAGCCTAGCTGTCCTGCTCGCCTGTTTTCACCGATCCATGGTCTATTTTCGATCCACAAGCTTCGATGATCCGTCACAAGTATACTTCTTTCATGGCATAGCTTCCGGAAGGGTGTAGACTAACATTTAGGTTCCTTTCAGACGGCGATTTGACGGCTTTTCTGGAAAAGGGTAGGCGACTAGTAATGTAGTGGAAGGCAAATACATGGATGGTGGCAGAATTGTATACCAACACTCATCTCCTTCAGAGCATCAATGTTGAACCTGAAACAGCATTATGACACAAACGCTTCTTCGCAGTGCTCGCAAATGCTTCACTTCATACATCTAAGGTGCAACCCTCCTGAGGTTTTCAGTTTGGTGAACTCAACACGTTCAGGTAATGAACTTTTCATCCAAAAGATATCTGAAAGAATGCTTCCCGCTTCTTCACTGAATCTGGTAAGCTGAACATACTTGAAATGCAGATTTCATCGCAATATCTCACAGTTTCCCATGTACTCGGAAAGGCTTAGCTAAAGCAGACCACCACTCGTTAATGCTTTAATGTGACTTGAGAACATAAGCAATGATACCAGGGCATCCCTCAGAACGCTGACATGACTAATGACAAAGGAGTTTTGTGCCGACACCTGAAGATTCGGAGATCGTTTCCAGAGCTGACACTGCAAAGGCTCCAAGCAGTAACACCTCCACTGAGGGCTATGTTTGGGAGAACTGACTACCCAAACACCGATAATTCAGATATGAAGCCACAAGCAGAGCTGATAATTATTCAACCATTCCTCTAAAAACGACACTTCAACCTGGCCTCTGGTACACCACTCAGGAACCTGAATACAACAAGAGCTTGAAAGAAGGCATAACACTCAGGCTTTCATGGCTTCCTGTCGCAAACGTTCAGCTTCCTGGGATTTCTTAAGCTCCTCGTCTGCAGCATCTTTAACAGCTTGCTCTGTGGCAGCTTGTTCTGCCGCAGCTGCCTCCCGTTCCTGTTTTTCAATCCTCTCCCTTTCACTGGCCTGTTTATGTTCCCATTCCCGTCGAAGGTCATCCTGTTCCTCTTTTTCATCACGTTCCTCAAATTCCTTCTGAGCGGCCATAGCTTTGACAATAGGATCTCGAAGGTCAGAAATGAGTCCTCCACCTACTCGGTACTCATTCTCATCCCCAATTAGGTAAACCCGGTGATCAGCACCAATTGTTGGAATATCCACTGCAAGCAACTTAAAATCATACTGCACATTACCCAGATGCCCATAAAAGTCAGATATCAGTAAATGTGCTTTTAGCACTTGAAATGCACCTCACAAAACCCTGTTGTGTCACTCAACATAAGAAAGTAAGGTAAATAAATGACGATCAACAATCGAACATGCCAGTTTCAAGTTTCAATAAGACGAATGGTAGCAAAGAAACCAAATTAGCAAAACAAAAGTTAGCATGAAGAAACACATGAGAGGATGATGATGACAGAATAATTAATGGTGTAGTGACAATTAGACCTGGCCTCCCTTCTTCTTCACTTCGATGCTCACGAGCCCCTTCCTCTCTGCTCCAGAGACGGGGAATATGATAAAACAGCGCTTGTTGCTCAGTCGAGGTCTGAAGCTTTTAATTCTTAGATCTCCTCCAGACATGATATAGGCACGCAAGTCGGTCCCTCTTAATGGGGCACCCATTGCTTCTAATACTGGTGCCGAGGTATTCAATTTCCTCATCGCAATACGATAAACGGCATCCGGCTTGATGGTGACCCTGGACCTCAACCAAATTCCCTAAAATCGCCAAGATAAAAGTTAGGTCCTGGAACAGAGCACTTCTTGGGTTTTAGGATTAAAAGGGTACAATGAAGCGTGCATTACAGCAGGATTCCTAGGGTTGTCCAAGCATCAAGATGTCGCCAATAAGAAATCGTCAACATCATAAACCTGGAAAATAATGATGATAATCAATACAATTGCTAATATATAAGAAAGGAGAATTCAGTAGTAGGGTAAAAAATATCACGTAGCTCAAGAGCTTGACGCTAATCGAAGAAGCTCAATGACATGTCGACTACCGTATTCAGATTAGAGATCGCATTATGGAAAGGAAAAAAGAAAGAGGGGCAGCTTACCCCTACGGTAACCATGGCAGCGGCAAGAGCCAGAAAACCAAACTTGGCCATACCCTCAGAAAGGTTGACGAACATGCTAGCAATCCCAAACATGATGCGCCATAGAAGCAAACAAACCCCAAGCCCTACAGCCCCGACCACAGCCAAGTAGTTTCTCTTCCAGAAGGCCTCCAACTGAAGCCCCAACGCTTCCCTGTACCCGATCACGGTTTTCTTTGCCGTATTCACAGGCTTCCAAACGCTCTCAGGTGCCCTAGAAGAGCCAGCCCCCTTGGCCATCACTGTATTCTTTGCCTTCGCAGTGGCACCCTTGAACTGATCCCGTAACGATAACAAATTGAAATTCCGTCGCCCCAGCAATGCTAACCCCTGCTGATGCTTCTCTCCCAAACTCCCCTCTCCAACCCATCTGGCTACGCCGCTGATCCCTCTCCTGGCTCCGATCCCAAGCAACGATTCCACCCCCAAACCCAATTCCGCACTCCGCTCCAGCCCTGTCTTCTTCAAGCCTTCCTCAACCATTCCATTCGGAAATGCCGGCCTCTGGGAACTCCTCCTCAGTGCGATCAAATAATCAGTCGCTAGGGTGAGGCCCTTCCTCCGAGCCAGCATCGCCATGATCGCTCCTACAACGAATTAAAATTATTCCTTCAGCCCGAAACCTCGCCACAGTCGCATCATTAAACAAAACATCAATCATGCTCGAGAACTTCACACATTGAAGCTACACCACTTCATCATGATGTCTAAATGTGCCCTCGTTTTTGGCTTGTGTTCAAGCGCCCAACTAATCGCAATTGAAATGCGTCCAATTACCTCTACATTTGGACCGGTTAAATCACGCAAATCACAGATGAGCAGGGATGATTTGGGCAGAATAGTGTAACGAGAAAATACCGTGGCTTGTCCTACAAACGACGGAGTAAATAGGAAACGTAGGAATCAACTGTCACTTGAAACTTGAGCACCACAAGAAGTCGAGGAAGAAACAATGCAACGCCTACCCTTTCAAATGAGAATCCATAGCATATGACACAAATTCGGTATGTCGTAGAAAAGGCTTACGGTGATCGGCAGGGCACCGCTCAAGCGCGCCGGTGAAGCAGGTCAAGTAGACATGGCCGGAAATGATATTTTACCAAGTTAAGCACTATAGCATGTCGTTTGGTGTCCCGAAACACTAGATAATGGTGTCCTGATAGGAACCCAGAATGTGCGCAATTTATGGACTGGTCCAAATACGAACTCATCACATTTCATTACCTCTTCGTTAATTCCTTTTTTGTAATTTGATATGTTTTTTTCAGTGATTTTTCAATGAACTTCGTAACTAAAGTATAATTTCTGCCACTTTTGCCCTACGCAGTGACCGCTTCAGTTGAGTTGGTCTTCCGCCTTGTAAAGTTATGAGTCTGTGAGGGTCGTCCGACAGACTGAGGGTTGTTCGTTTGTTGGATATGGACGAGAATGACAGATTTTTTTTATTGCTTGGAGGATTGGGATGGTGGCGGTTCTCTGTGGATGTATGTCAACTCTCGCACAATTTCTAGACATTCTTAATGTTAACCGAGGCTCATCAGTATCCCTTGAGAGAGATATGTGATTCTTTTGACAAAACTTGGGTTTCCATGCTCGACGTTGTACAAGCTGACCATTAATTTGTTTCGACTCTGTTTCATTTCTCGCAAAGATTTGAGAGCACCTTATGCCAGACTCTTATTAGTTAGCAAAGACGACAAATTAGGGTTTATCCTGACAAACATCAACCCTTGAGATAATTGCTTCCGCCTCATTTTCTTGGATCTGATTGGTTCATGTCGTGTAAATGCGCTTCTTAGAATTTGAGGTTAATGTGCACTCAAAATGAACACAACTGCTAGTCTGAATGTGTTGGAACGCGGAGGGTTTTTGGTATACGCAGGAAGTACTCAGAACAAAGGGTTGGATTGATGAACTGGCATGGTTAAAACTGGAGCACTTTGTGTCAACGAATTGAAACCAGGAAACCCGAGATTTGGAATTGCCTTTTGCTTAGGTCTTAGCTGGTTGGTTTCAAGTCTATAATTGGAAACGGACTTTTGGATACTGAAAAGTCATCGAGGAGCATTGGTGGTATTTGTAAATGTGTCTACAGGTATGGAGTAATGCAGCTATTGGCTACCCTTGTGTGGTTAGAAGAGCAGCATTCTGCAGCAGGAGTTTGAGATGCAAAAACTGAAAGAGAAAGTTCTCATGCAGAGAAATTTATGTGAAAATGAGATTGGATCTGAAAAATATGTTCCCAGCCTACTTGCAACGTGCAAAGGACAGTACGTGCAATGTTCCAAGTCTAACAATGACAACAACCAAATCTTATAGTAAGCATTGTTTGACCCTTTGCTTGATTCACGTTAGATTTTTACATCTCTTCAATATTCTCTTCAGCTTCAGAAAACGTCTTCCAATTTTTCAATGAGCACATGTGGATTCGTTGACATGTTTAATCATACCATTTTAGTCATACCTCTTAGAATTTAATCGAGGTGTAGAGTACATCACAGCTAGAAGTTTCATAATTTGAGAATCTTTGCAGCTGAAATAGGTCACAAGCCAGTGCAACACAGATTCACGTTCTCTCTACAGTTTGAATGAAACGTCAATCCAGATCGGCAATGCTGCAGCGATCCAATGGCAACTGGTTTAAATTTTTTTTCTCTTGCAATTGGAGGTTTTCATCTTTTTGCAGAGAGTTGTATAGAACTCCTGTAAATAGATTTGGTGTCGCTCAAGCGATGATGGACGTAAAATAGGTTGAAGATGCTGTCTCTAGTATCCTGATGATAAATTGGTTATGTAATTCAGTTGGGTGAACCGCTCGATGAAAGAAGAAAATATTGTAGAATCTTAGGGCAGATTTGATGTCGAGTTTGCACTCACAAGCTAGTTCCGGGAATCACAGGTTCATGTCGTGGTGGTATGGTTTAAACTTTCGCCTTTCGCTTGGATGATTCTGGCTCAGTCCCCAGCCACTGCGCCGCTTCTTCTTTGTCTACCTACCCCATTTCTGGATAGTATGATGTTTGGACATTGCATGAAGATATCGCAGGGATTTCAAGTTGTGAAGAGAGAGAACATCTCAATTGCTTAGTCTAAGGTGGTGGAACTTATCTGTTCCAGTATGTATTTGAATAGGGGCACAAAGTTTTATTTCCTTTGCGTCGTAATGATATCTTCATTTTAACGTAAGGGGAAAGCCTTGTTTGTCATCTATTGATTGATCGTCCCTCGCTGACAAGGGTAACCATTCAACCTCATGCATTGCACTATTTCGGAGTATCTTAAGATATTTTCAAGCCAATCGAGTACAGACCACGTGTCTTTTTGTGGATTACCTCCAGAGAATGATGAGCAGCTGGCATGATAGTTCGGCAAAGCAACACTTGGCCACGCTCTTTCAGCAGCATGGTAAGTGGCTACACAAGGCAAAATACTCCTTTTGTCTGCAAAGTCTAGAAATGCTTGGAACTAAGGCATTTTGATGTACTATGTTGTCTTAGCTGTTGAAAAACTGCAGAATAATGGAGGAGAAATTCATGAAATAGGTGAGAAAGCTTAGCTATAGTTTTCTGAGCTCTACTCGGTGGAAAAGCGTTTTATCCATCATGTTGTGTTGCAATGGTAGCGTTATGTTCCAATGTGAACCTGCCATTGAAGGAAGCATTGTCTGCTACATCTCTTTCCAACTCCACTTACAAAGACAGTCACCGCTGTCAACACTATCTATCGTTTTCCGCCTCCCAATGTGCCCACAAATGTGTAACTGCAGGTACCGTTTCTCTCCCTCCCTCCCTCTCTCTCGTTCTCTCTCTCTCTCTCTCTCATTATTAGCAATGTCTAATTGCTCAAGTTTTATTTATGTACCTGATGCCCAGACAGAAAACAAATGGAACTGCAGCAATGCGTTTGCGTACAATGAACTCCACTGTCAACTTTGTACCCACTCTCAATCAATCATCTTTGAATGAAGTCCACTTCTGAGAGGGACAACTGGGGCCTGGTGTTTCAGCATGAAACTCATAATCCACAATGTCTGGTCTCTGAACTCATGGCTGTTACACCACAACCCTTCGCAAGGGCTCCTGTCCATGTTCCTGATTCGCAACAAGGTTATGTTGAGCATGCAAGAAACTTGACTAGCGCCCAATTTTGCTACCACATCCCTGTCGATATGCCATTGAGCCGCAGTTTAGGTTGAACTTCCACTTTCACAAATGCCGAATCTGGTGGGAGAAGTAAAGATACAGACAATGAAGAAGAAACAAAAGGCTTTGTAAAGGAGGGGCAGCTGACACAACCCAAAGTATTCACGCTGGGCTAGCCTGGGTCAGCTGACCTCAACTCAGTCCTGCCCGGCCCAGCCCGGCCCGGTCCGACCCGGCCAGTCACGCTTTTCCCCTTCAAATAAATTCTAGCCGCAGCGAAGAGGATGTCAGCAGCCTCCATAATCCTACACTCCCCCAGAAAAGCCTGCACAACGAGACAACCGCTTCCTTTTGGACAGAATGTCCACTGCTTGGGATGAATAAGAGAACGCATATATGGATGAGTATTCTGAATGATTCATCCAGACGATGCGGTCACCAACTTCTCCTTGTCGTTGTCCGTGCCTAGGCCCGTACCTGTGTACCTGGTGGTAGGGCTGGGTTGGGGGTTGCCAAAGTGGAGATCCGCGACAATAGGAGGGCAGGCTCGGGGTCCCATTAGGGGAACATGTTCCATTTGTTTTCTGGGGTTTTCCGGGCTGGGTGTGCCCCGTTCCCCTTCTTCTAGAACTTACGTTCCCTTCTCATCCTTCTCTTCCTTCCTCCTTCCTCCACTGGAATAATAATAACCAACGATGAGGACTGGTTCCGAAGTTGGATTTTTTTTACCTAGGCGTCAAAAAAGTGGTCGTTATTGGTTAAGAGGAATTCTACGTTGTTTGAAAGAACTGATTGAGGAAGAATAAAGGGAGCAAGGACCTCTAATGTTGGAATATCTCAACTTAAGATTTTTCAGCTATCTCGAGGGTTTTTTTTTTTTTTTTTTTTTCCTTTTTTTTTTTTTTTTTTTGGAATACAAATATTTTTTTGGTAGAGAAATAAGGTTCTAATGTGCTCCAAAACAAACAAAAAAAAACAACATATATATATATATATATATATACATATACACACACTACAGGGGTTTAATTGAAAAAAATTAATAAAGATGTATTTTCATTTGATCCTTGAACCAACACATTGACTTGGCCAAAATTGTTTGTAAAAACACATTAAACCACCACCAACATCATCCTTGTAAAGTTTGCCAATCATTGGTGGGCTTGGAATGGACTTGGAATCTTCTACAGGAAGAATGGTTGTTTTTAGGTTTGTGCAAGGGCGGTTTAGGGTAAAGTCTACAGGTTGGTTCAGGGGCATGACACAACTTAAGGTATTTCAATGTTATTGCACCAGTGATTCTTATTCTACTTTTAATCTACTTTCATTGGAGTATGTTATGTAGAAAATTTCAAATTCAATTCAAATTCCTTCGTGTATATTGAAAATGGTTGTGTGTAGTTGGACTATTCAAAGATTGTTGAATGTTCAGAGGAAATGGGCAGGGTCCAAATCCAGTTTTGGGTTAGATCCAAAACAGTGTACACCTTTAAAAGGCAATGGCAAAAAGCTTCTTTGTAGTGGCCTGAAGTATCCTCCCGCAATTCCTAAAAGCCATTGTATAGCTCAACTCCAAAGCTCTCAATCCATCAAAAAAAATCCTACTACTTTTCTCTTTCCTCTCTTCCTTAAAAATTTTCTTTTTGGAGGCATTCCTTGTTATTGATGTTAAAACATGCTGAGATGCATTCATTTGTCAGCATGACATTTACCTTTAGTCCATATTCCCATCCATGAAAATGCCTTCTATACTTACAAAGTGGTGGCTGGGAAGACTTCACATCAAAAACAGACGTACAGATTATTTATTTCAGAACCATGGTCGACTAAAGCAACAATTGGTTCATCTATATCTCCTACTTTCACCAATACCTCAGTAGTTGCCCTTGTCCAATGCTTTCGAGTATAATGGCTCAAAGTTTCCATTTCCTTGTCACTAGAATCTTCGAAACGTACTCGTTGATTATACCCATTCTTTTCATTTGTTGGTTGCTTGTAACCAATATCAACCTCTTCTTCATCTCTATATATTCTTGCATCAATAGCATGACTCATTCCAGTTTCGTCCATTAATTATCTTTTTCGCTTAATGCTGTCAATGATGACATCATGAAACTCCTTCTTTACAATTCCCAAGACTTCTTTCAATGTGAATTCCACCTTAGCGTTTAATATACGTTCTTCCAACACCCCTTTCAAATTTGTTGCCGCTTCAATGTCAGAAAGTAGCTTATAAGCAATTGATTTGTCTTTATCTTTTGTCTCCTTTGTTTTTTCTCCCAATGATGCTGAGATATCCTTTACAGGCAATTAAAGTAGAAGAGGTTTTAGATTTAAGGCAATACCAAAAAAATTAGAATATTTTATATATTAGTATAGTTAAGATATTAATGAATATATATTAGAGATGTATAAGAATTTTAAAAGTGCATTAGAATTTATCTTTATTTTTTATTAATGATATTCTTCAAAACCAAGGATTAAATATTAAAAATGAGATTCTATAAATTAAGAAGAAACAAGCCCAAGAATTAACTTTTAGAACTCATTTACAAACATGAAAAAATCAACAACTACCACATTCATCTTAAGAGTTGTCATTTGTAGAATTATTAAATAAAGGCCTTAGATTATCTAAACTTATAAAATATTAAAATTTCAATTAATATCCTTGAAAGAAACTTGTTCTTTTTTAAATAGATGGCAAGATATAATGTATTTGGTATCATGATCTTAGAAGAGATTCTTGATGCTTAGTGATATTGTTGAAAGGTGAAACTATACTTAATAGAATGTAAAATGTATTATTTGAAGGAAGCTATAAAGGCCTTAATAATGATCAAATAATTCAAAAGTCTTTTTGTCATAGTATAAAATATTATTAATGGTTAAAAAGATTGTTAACCTTAGAAATAATAATTAATAAAGATATTATTAAGAAGATGTATTATAAAAAAATGAGAAGGTAATAGACTAGTATAAAAGAAGAAAAGAAAGAGTAAAAATTTAGTATACAAAATCAAGTTATAGAAACAACTATAAATAAGGTTAGAAAAAACTTATAGATGTTTGAAGACTAGATTGAAGAAGATGAAGATAAGATGAAGTTTATAAAGATATAGATGATTGAAGAATTAAGTGGAAGATAAAATAGACATGATTATAAAAATAAGAAGGTAATAGACTAGTATAAAAATAATTTATATAGATGTTTGAAGACTAGTATAAAAAGAATTCATATAGATGTTTGAAGATTAGATTAAAGAAGATGAAGATAAGATAAAGTTTATAAAAAGATATAGATGATTGAAGAATTAAGTGAAAGACAAAATAGACATGCTTATGTCTAAGAAGATATGAATATTTGACGAGTAAATTAAAGAAGATCAGATAAAATTATTTGATAAAATTAAAAAATAAAATTAATAGATGAATTAAAGATAGTTCTTTTTAGGTTAAATTATTTGACTACAATTTTGACAAAAGCAAGAACTACAAAAGATAAGTAAAAAGATAGTTTTTTTTAGAAACAAAGAAAGAATACTTGAGATTCTTGAAGTATAAGAATCTAGGTGTTCATTTAGTAACCATGCTAGAAATACGTTGCTATTCTTAATAATTAAGTTTTAAAATTTTATAGAATTAAAAGCCATGATTCAATAAAGATGTGTAATGTTTTTAAATAGAACTTATCAATTTTACCATGAGTATTAAGAACCATAAATAAAGATGGTATAAAACAATTCTATATTTTACACCAAACTAGCAAGATTGAGCAATTAGGGCAAAATAAAAAAAAAAATCATATACAACTTTAGTCAAGAAAAATATAAAAATAAGATATACATTGAAGAAGGATATACATCAAGGAATATTATATGAAGGAATTTTGGCAATTAAGAAATTACAAAATAAAAGTCAGTTACTATATTAGGTAATGAGCTAAGAAATTAGATCTCTTAGAAGTTCAAAAATTCCAAAAGAACAAGCTATTGAATGACAACATATTTCTAAAATACTTAAGCAAAAAGAAGAAGAAGGATG